TTTCTGCAGGGTTTTTATCATAAATGGGTGTTGAATTTTGTCGAAAGCTTTCTCTGCTTCTACTGAGATGATCATATGGTTTTTCTCCTTCATTTTGTTAATATGGTGTATCACATTGATTGATTTGCGTATATTGAAGAATCCTTGCATTCCTGGGATAAACCCCACTTGATCATGGTGTATGATCCTTTAATGTGCTGTTGGTTTCTGCATAGACACATTTTTGTTTCCATTTCCATGATAGTTCTAGCATAGAGGTTGAAAGAGAAGAGGAATACTGTCTGCTGGGATTTGGGAGAGGGTTAAATGGCGGAGAATTAGATACATTTCTGATAGTCCAGGTTAGAAGTCAGAGCACAATTTAGCATAGAAACCACGTGATTAAATGTGTTAAATTTTATACTGTTTTGTGTAAATGTACTGCATTTGAGGTGTAATCAAAAGCTAGTGAGCCTCCTTAAGAAACTAGAAATTTACCATGCAGTCTGAATTCCAAAGGACTTGCAAACTGTGCTCCCAAAGTTCATTTGTAAATTGAGGACTTTGTTTTCATCAAATCAAGATGAAAGGGCAAGTGAAATAAAACACACCTTTGATGATGCATAATTAGAAAAATAATCCTTAAAAGTAATTACCAGGGTAGCACAAAGACTTTTCACCACACACACTTTATATCCATTGAATTGTGGACCACATGCATGTGATAATTATTCCCCCAGTAAGGTTTATTTTAGTTTAAAAGTGTTAGAAAGAACTGCCAAATTACATATTTAGAACATTTCTCTAGAGTGCAGGTGGACAGATACTATTTCTTTAAATTCTGGTGTCTTTCTCTGTTCTACTGTTGAACTTGAACCAGGTTGGTTATGGTGCCAATAAATCTCAAGTAATCTACCGTTACTGTAAAAGTTACTCTGCATGCTGGCTACCCCTCCCTGTAAAAATAATTATACCACTATGGGGGTAACTGACTTTGCCTTAACTATAATATGGCTATCTTTAGCGAGAATACTTATTCCCCACCCCTGGTGTTTTCTTCCAGCTGAAGAGACATCAATTAGAGTAATTCTCTCCATCCCTTCACTCTACCCTAGGAAGGAGAAGCGACCTGCCCATGAATTTGGGAGCAAGAACTGGGCAATCAAGGCATCACTCCTCCACCTCTCCTCCTCTTGTGGACCAGCTGCCCACAGGAAGCATCAATGTCTGCAAGCCACAGTATTACAGGACTAGACCCTGTGGAGGCAGCCACTGGTGGTCCACACCTGAGTGGGGTGTCAGTCTAATTCTGGGGTTCAGTATAGCTCACAGACGTAAACCACATTCTCCAGTATCTGCTTTATCAGTAATCAAAACGATATGTCAATCTCCATCTGTCTTACTCCATACCTACTTCATCAAAACTCATGCAAGAAAAGCAGGAGTGTTTTGTACCTGTCCCTGTGGATATCACCTGCTATACCTTTCTTCAGTGATGCCCTGAAGAAAAACAATTAGAAAAAATATTCAAGTAAGATGCATTGAAGACATATTAACATTGGAAAGTAATTTGGAAAAGAATATTAAAATGAGGAAAATCTAATTTCAGACTGAATTTCCTGTGCTTTGTTCCTTTGTTTCTCTCTATTTTTGTCTCCTCCTCCTATTTCCTGGCTGTAGGTACACTCTTATTTCCATATTCAGTTTTTCACTCACTACTCAGTTCATCCATGTAGCGAATGTTTAGTTAACTTCTACATGCCAAGCACTGAGGTTACAGAATTCCAAGGTGACCAAAACAGAATCTAGTGGGAGAGATAGGCAGATTGCTATTTCATATTGCTATGAAAATGTAATTGGTTAAGTACAGTGGCAGAAAAGTGCACAGGGAATTATGGGTGCATCCAACCAGAGGGAGTCAGAGAAGATGAAGCCCTGAGCAGCAACTTAAAAGATGGGTGGAAAAAATGAGTTCTGTTAAAAAACTTAAATTTTTTTCATTGCTACTTTTATCTCCAAGAGGGTACATTTGCGCAAATGATATTTAAAACAAGTAACCCATGCACCATGAGTAAACTTTTCAAATGTGAGATCTGGCTCTGTCATTCTACTGGTAGCGGATGCTTTGGTGCACCCTCAGCCTACTTCTGGTTTCAGCCACAGCTGTGGTGGACAGTTCCAGGCATGCTGGCGGGATTCACCTCCTGTACCACTGTATGCACAACACTTTTCTGCCTCTGGGTTTCTCCGAAAGCCTTGAACCTTGTCCAAGTGCAAGTTCAGCCCAGAAGTATTTTTGCATCTATGTTCATGCATGTGATTAAGCTGTAATTTTTTCCTTTTTTGTACTGGATTTCATATCAAGATTTTTTTTTTTTTTGGTTGCATCATGCAGCTTGTGGGATATTAGTTCCCCGACCAGGGATTAAACCTGGGCCCTCGGCAGTGAAAACATGGAGTTCCAACCTCTGGATTGCTGGGGAACACCCTCAAGATATTTTAATATCATAAAATGAACTGAAGAGTCTTTATGTCTATCCTCTGGAAATATTTGGGTAAGGATTGAAATTATTCTGTTTAAGTCATCTTTATCCTTATTGATTTTTTTCTGCTTTTATATATCTATAAATTATTGATAGAATTGTGATATTCTTCCACTAAGGATGGATTTTTTTTCTCAAAATTGTTGAATTTAGTGTGTTTTACATATATAGTAAGTATTGAACATGTGGCTTTATTTTTAGCTTGTTATATTGTGTTTTTTATTTATTCCACTTGAATATTTGCCAGAAGTTTTCTGGGTACAATGCTTTTCTTTCTGGAGCAGTTTTAAAATTCTGCTTTAATTTTTTTAAGGGATATAAGACAATTCAGACTTCTTCCCTTTTGTGAGTCATATTTATAAGTTATATTTTTCTAAGAATTCATCTATTTCATATACATTTTCAAATTTATTGTATAAAGTTGTTCATATGAAGAAACTAATATTTATTGAAGATACATTATGCATTGTATTATATACTATACACTTGTGTTCTAGATTCTATTTTTCTTTTTTAAAGTTTTTTTTAACAGCTTTTTCAAGATATAGTTGACAGACAATAAATTGTGCACATTAAAGTGTACAATGTGATATGTTTTGACATATGTAAATATCCATGAAACCATCACCACAATCCAGAGAGTGAGAATATCCATCATGCCCAAAAGTTTTATCGTGTTGCTTGGTAATCCCTTCAGAGTACTCCATCCAGTGTCTGTGAACTATGAGATTTTTCCAAACTGGCTGGTGGTAGCAGGCACTATTCCTGGCTCTTCGTGAACTCCCAGCCTGCTTCCCTTAAGGCCTTCATATGCTCTTCTCTGGCCTCAGGTAGTTTCCTCACACTCATGTGCAGATGCACTAGGTTCTCTCTCTGCAGGGTTCTCGTTCTCGAGTGCTACTATCTTGCAAACTCTAGCTTCTTTAGTGTCCCAGCTCTGTACTTCCTGCCAATCAACTTCTTAGCAACTCAGGGAACCTGCTGCACTCCACCTTGATTCCCCTTCCCTGCACCGCCATGACCTGGAAATGCTCAAGGTAGTAAGTTCCAATCACAGGGCTCTCCTCATTCGTTTTCCATCTCTTAGGGAACACTGTTCTTTGTTCTCTGATGTCCAGTGTCTTGGAAATCGTTGTTTCATATATATTGTCTGTGTCAACTACAAATTGGCACTTGCCATCCACCTCTACGAGAATTACATCATGTGCTACTACAGCTGCTGACTTTCAACACCCCCTGAAAGGAGCTCAGGGTGGAGAGCAGAAACGAGGCACTCTGTGCTCTGGAAAAAACTGGCAGAACAGGGCTTCAGATGGTTAGATATTTTCAGGAGCCGATTTTATGAGCCCAATTCTTATATTTCCTCATATTTAGAAAAGCACTAAAATCCTTCATGGTGACAACTGCTCCCCATGACTAGCAGAAACTTTCTGCAAAAACATATGTGCTTGATTGCATGTACTCCCTCTTCACCAAAATCACATATATACTGACCTTCCCCCCTACCTCTCTGGAGCAGTTTCTCAGAGCTATCTGAAATGCTGTCTCCCGGGCTATAGTCCTCATTTTGCCCCAAGTAAAACTTAACTCGCAACTCTCACATTGTGCATTTTTATAAGTTGGCATCTGGCTTTTTGGTTGTTTTAGACAGGATGATAAATCTTGTCCCTGTTACCCCATATTGGCCAGAAGTAGATCATAATATCCTTTTTTTTTTTCTTAATCTACATCATCTTGTTTGCTTTTTCATTTCCTTTATTCCTCTTTCTCCTCCCTTGATTAAACTTGCCCAAGGTTTGTCTAATTAGTCATCTTGAGAAACCAGCTTTTGTTTGCTGATCTTTCCTTTAATATGTATATTTTCAATTTCATTCATTTCAGTTCTTATTTTTATTTCCTCCCTTTTATTCATTATTCATTCATTTCTAACTTAGATTCATAATATCATGTCCTCCTTATATTCTGGTATAAGCATTTAACACAATAAGTTTACCTCTCAGTAACATTTGAGCTGCATCTCATAAGGTTTGTTATGTATTATTTTCATTGTTGAATTCTAAAGATTTCTAAATTTTATCATGATTTTCTTTGACTCATGAAGTTTTAGAAATGTTTTAAAACTTCTTATGGATTTTTCCTAGTTTTCTTTTTATTATAAATTTCTAACTTAGTTGCTTTGTAGTCAAAGAAAGTTATCTCTGAGATATAGTTGATAATAAACTGCACATATGTAAAATGTATAATTTAATAAGTTGTGGTATATGTTAACACCCATGACACCATCACCACAGTCAAGATAGTGAAGTTATCCATCACTCATAAGATTTCTCATGTTCCTTTTTAATCTCTTTGACCAGGCTTCAAATAGATCAGGCTGAATAACAGAATTTTTTTTTTCTCTTTAAACTCTGTTTTAATGGGTCCCAAAATTCTGTAACGATTTTCAATAGGTTGTTTCCATTACAGAGCATTGATTTTAGAAATAATAACTTAAAACAGCCACACACATACGCACAAAAAAAATAAATGGTCCACAACACATTCTCCTTTTCTTCTGAAGGTTTTACAATGCATCTGTATCATTAATCAGCCTTTCACTTAAATGGCCAATTGAGACAATCAGTTCTGAGACCATCCCCCACCACTGACTAAGACAGGGTGGCAGGTATAGGGATGATATTCATTTAGCCTTCTGAGCTTCCTGAGCAGGCAGGTGACCCTGCAAGCACCAACCGCCTTCTTGTCCACTTCTTTGGTGACGCTCACAGAAACCATCTGTCTCATGTCACCGATAGGAAGACGACTCAGAGGAGGATAGTCAGAGAAGCTCTCGACACGTGTGGGCTTGCCAGGAACCATATCAATGATGGCAGGATCATCAGATTTCAAGACTTGGGGACCATATTCCATCTTTTTCCTAGAACGACAGCTAATCTTCTCCTTCAGCTCAGCAAACCTGCAAGCAATTGAGCTGTGGGACAGTCCAGCACTGATTTGGCCTGGGTGGTTCAGGTGATCACCTGGGCTGTGAAGTCAGCTGCTTCCATTGTGGGCCATGTTTGCTGTCACCAGCCACATTGCCACAATGAACATCTTTGACAGGCATGTTCTTGACATTGATAAATGTGGACATCTAGAAGTCCACACTGTCCCCAGGAAGAGCTTCACTCAAAGCTTCATGGTGCATTTCAACAGACTGACTTCAGGTGAAATGCCGACTGGAGCAAAAGTGACCACCACACTGGGTTTGAGAATACCAGTCTCTTTGAATACTTCACCCAGTCAAGGATTGGTATCATATAGATGACTGTTAGGATAATGTTGTGTACAAGTAACAAAAATCTAACTTAAAATAGGTAAAGCAATAGGGGAATTTTACTATCTTAACAAGGAGTCCTGAGGAAGGGTGCCTCTAGGGCTACTGAGTTCAGCAGCTCAGTGACATCACCAAGCTGTTGGGACTATTATATCCTTCTAACCTTGCATCTTTTAGGCTAGCTCCCTTCCTGGTTACAGGATGGCTGCCTCTTATCCCAGTTCAGATGCAGACATAAACAAGCCCAGCAGATGAAGAGCTCATTTCATTCTTGTGTGCCCTTTTAAAGCGTGAGGAATAGGGGCAGGACAGGAATAAAGATGCAGACGTAGAGAATGGACTTGAGGACATGGGGGGAGGGGGAGGGTAAGCTGGGACGAAGTGAGAGAGTGGCATGGACATATATACACTACCAAATGTAAAATAGATAGCTAGTGGGAAGCAGCCGCATAGCACAGGGAGACCAGCTCGGTGCTTTGTGACCACCTAGAGGGGTGGGATAGGGAGGGTGGGAGGGAGACGCAAGAGGGAGGAGATATGGGGATATATGTATATGCATAGCTGATTCACTTTGTTATGAAGCAGAAACTAACACACTATTGTAAAGCAATTATACTCCAATAAAGATGTTAAAAAAAAAGAGTGAGGAAGTGTCCCCAGCAGACTTCCCCTCATCTCATCATAGCCAGAATTGTGTCACAAGCCCTTGTCACATGCCAATCTAAGATAAGAAATACACCCCATCCCCTTCCTTCACAGAGTTGGAGCTGGGACTGGCCTCCCTGAAGGATAGGGCTATGTGGAAGAGAAAAGACAGTTCCCAAGGAAAGGAGGAAAGTATTACAGGTAGCAATGAAAGCTATCTGCTACACATGAAGCCATCCAAAAGACATAATAAAAAGAGGAGCCATTTTTAAAAAAGCAAAAAAATCCCCAACAACTCCAACCCTTAGAACACCATAGCCTGCTTGTGTATCCCTGGGAAGTGCACTTATGTAATGGAACCACATCAGTGCTCGTTTTCTTACGGGATTAAGGGGCAGGTGTAGGGGGCAAAGGTGTGCATTCCTCTAAAAGTTTATAGCATATAAACTAGCCTTGAAGCCTTGACCCAGAGTGTTCCCTCGTGATACAGTCAGCCCTCCTTATCTGTGGGTTCCGCATCCGCGGATTCAACCAACCTTGCTGACTGTTAGGGACTTGAGCATCACAGATTTTGGTATCCTCTGGGTGTCCTGCAACCAATTCCTGGTGCATTTTGGGGGAGGACTGCATATTTAAGAGAAATGATTAAACTGATCATTTCCCAACTACTATAAGTACACCCTCTAACAGAAGAGAACTAAAATTAGTCATTTGTTGTGTTGAACTTAAAACTATTCTCTTCCCAATTTAATAATCTTTATTGAGTTTACAGGTAATTTTAAAAATTGCATTTCATACTATCAGCTGGTTTCAGCTTTTCATCACAAATTAAAGGACAGAAACCCTTTGCTTCACTTGAACACTTCTAGCCCAGTACTATGAATACAAGATACTGAATAATATTGCAATTTAAAACTAATTAATTCACTCAGGAAACCTCCTGATTTATTGTTCTCCTTCTCTAGTAACCACTGGAGGGAATACTCAAGGATTAAACATTTCCATAAAGACAATTTATATCCTTATATGTTTGCCTACAAATTACCAGCCA